ATAAGGTAAGAATTAACCCTACTGATTTTGGAAATTCTTTGTCAAAGGTGAAGGTCATCGTTAAAAAGGTCACTCTTACTGAAAGAAAGCATGATGTCCCATCCTTTCATAAGTAAAAATGGTTCCACAAAGCTTAATGCAGGTTACGTTTGAGGAAGAGATAAAATGGCCACTCCTTTGATTTCAAATTTCTTTTGGTGAGGTGTAGACCTAATCCTTATCACAATAAAAACACCCATTAAAATTCAAATGAGTACTTGGTTCGTTTTTTTCCCCCCAAAAGACGAATATTTCCAAACTAACAATGCACTGGAGAGGATCATTTATGATGTAACCGAAACTAGGGATCATGTACTACAGTATACATATAAAACTTCCTTGCTTTGGTTAGGTATCAGATATGTACAGACAAATCAACAGCCAGAAGCCATCTCAAGCAATTATTTGTGTTCAGACAAAAATGTGTTCATCTTAAAATAAAAAATATATCGATCCAAAATATGTGGTGGAACATATTCAAAGAAGGGATCAAATGACTATATGGTCTATACATCAAAATGCATGACTATATGTATAGTCTAATCATTATGATTTAAAACTGACAGAAAAGAAGTAAAAAATGGTTCCAGTTTGGATGGAATGAGTATTTAATCAACAGAGAAGATGGTTGGAAAAGATTCGATGTTTGATTCCTTTTCAGGATGGCCACCAAAACATTCATGTTACTGCCCAATCAGTTGTCAGATTCGTAGACAACTATGAATGGAGTTCTGAGATTGTGTGTTTGTTTTTTTATATATATATATTAAAGTTAGACGCCGTATTAACAGCTGATGACATTTACAGATGATGTTTTGCAAGATTCAAGAGTATGAAATGTGTTAGAATAGTGGAGTTGGGGAACTAAGGAAGAAAGAAATGATGCGAAGCTTTGAGTTTGTTTTCCAACTGGTGATTCTAGATTCACAAGAAAACAACTTATTTCAAGCTTTGTCGGAACTTTTTAGCCCTTGGGTGCAACAGTTTTGGATTTTGAAGATTGCTATGATAGCAAATATAATAAAGTATACTTGATGTAGGAGCACACATTACCATAGTTCTTTGACCAACTTGGCATTGACGGTGGTAATCTTTTATTGGATTATTATCATTTGGTGTCGTGTACTGAATCCAAACATTATATTTAGTCTGGCTTTTGTGTCTAGAACAAATCTGACAACAGACGAGGTATTGCGAGTGCCAATACACCCACATTTCATAACCTTTACGAATTCTGACTTTGCTCTCTTGGAGAGAGCTAGTTGTGTTCACCCTCTGAGCCAAACAGTTTGTTTTTGTAAGTAGAAACTGGATTTGATGTACAAGGTCTCTGTCTTTTCTTTTAGTTTCCGGTGATCTTTGATAAATTGGTCCCTGTATCCAATTGAGACATGCAGTCACAATCCTTAGAACCTCCTCAATTATATCAATGAAGCAATTTGATATTAATTAAGTTCTAAAATGATCCAATGCTTAAGACGGCAATGATACAATCCATAGCGATTCAGTAACTGTTCTGTCAATGATAGCCTTCATATCAAAGTGTTGGCTCTGACCAGTCTAAAGATATGTTACATTGGTAGGACATCCCTAAAGCCACGATCAACGACCACAGTGTCGTCTTGCTCCAACCATATGAGCTTGTCCATGATTTTCTTTTGTAATGCTTGCATCATTTTGACATCCAGAGAATGGTCCTTATGTGTCCAAAATGTAGCCATCAGGTAGAACTATGTTCATGAATTTAAGATAACTACGCTCCTTCTGCCCACCGTAAGACATTCTCTGAAGCTTATGGTAAGCCCCTTTTTGAATACAAATATAAGTACCGTCTATGAAGGCACCAAAGAATATTTCTGAGAACAAAGTACTGTGTGAAAGTATGTTCCCTACTCCAATGGTAAGGACCAAGGAACACTGGAACTATAGATTTATTCAATGCTTGTACAACAGAATGAAAGGTTTTTTGAACAAGAGGCCCAAGGGCCTTAGCGGTCACCTGAGTTATATCATAGGTACTGGTAGCTTTATTTTATTGTTTAGATGTGATGTGGAAATCAGCATGTAAACTAAGTGAAATACAATACTTGTCATGTCATCAAAGGATAAGAATTTGAAAATATTGGTAAATGTTCCCTTTGGGGTCCCGCCCTAGCCCCTGGGGATGGGGCAGGAATCCCAATTTTCCAAAGTAATACTCTCATTCACCAAAGATGATTCTGACTAAGTTTGAGTAATTTTCTGCTGAAAATGGATAAAATATATACCCAAAAGTGTTATTTCCCTATATAAACTATAGTAAACTTTACCCCCTCCCCAAGGGAGAACGGATAGCTCGGGGGTCCTGAAATTTACAATTTAAATAAAGCCCCTGATGATCTTTCCATCCATGCAGAGAAAATGACTGTAATACCTCTGAGTCTGGAGAAGAAGATTTTTGAAATATTGGTTAATTTTCCCTTTTGGGCCCCGCCCTGGCCCCTAGGGTTGGGGTAGGAATCCCAATTTTACAATTTAAAACCATCTTCCTCCTCCAAGGATGATTCTGACCAAGTAAAAATAATTTCCAACAGAAAATTGTCAAAATATACCCAAAAGTGTTGTTTCCCTATATAAACTATAGTAAACTTTACCCCCTCCCCAAGGGAGAACGGATAGCTCGGGGGTCCTGAAATTTACAATTTAAAGAAAGCCCCTGATGATCTTTCCATCCATGCAGAGAAAATGACTGTAATACCCCTGGCCCCTATGGTTGGGGTAGGAATCCCAATTTTACAATTTGGTATCCTCATCTACCAAGGATGATTCTGACCAAGTTTGAAAAAATTCCATCCACTGGTTCTTGAGAAGAAGTTGATTATGTAAAGTTTACGCACGACGCACGACGGACGACGGACGACGACGGACGGAAAGTGATTGGAATAGGTCACTTGAGCAAAGCTCAGGTGACCTAAAAACAGGCATGGAAATGCCGAAAAGAGCGGAACACTTAATTACAATAGATATCAGTTTTCATCATAACCCAAAACAGTAAAAGAGCATTTTGTGTATTTTTGGACTTTACTGAAGAAGAAAGAAAAGTGACAAAGTATGAATAGATTTTGAGAAACGGTTCTTTGATCAACCTGTCCAAGCTTTGCAGTCGGGTCATGCAAGAGACAAACATTGGGAGTGGTGGCTGATTGATTCTTTGATAAGACGTACGACACTTCTAAAAGGTCATCAATTATTTCAGATGACCTACTTCATAATTGCGAATTCAAATACTCTCTGTCTTATAGTATAATGTGTGTTCCAAGGGTTCAGGTCATTGCCAATAAGAAGAAATGAGAATACACGTGATGACGCAGAACACCACAATTTATATGTGAAAATTAATTGATTGCCTGGCACGTCCCTTGGAATTAAAATTGTTACAACAAAGACAACATTTTGTATGTGAACAGGGCCCGTAAAACAGGTCATTGATTTTTAACAGAGGAAAACTGCTAGTAGTTTCATCTTCAAAACGTTGTTTCAGATTATCTTTTGCGCAGATACCTAACGTAGCACTTCGGACAAATACTAACTTCTTCATTTGAACAATCTAAGCCATTTTGTTAGTCAGTATAAACAAAAGCCATTTATATTAGGATTTATTTTTTTAACATTTCGTGTACGTTTACATTTACGAGATTTCGCGAAGATACGATGGTGACCTTCACCAATACATTTACTCTTCATTATGAGATGAATATGATCAAATGAGTATGAAATATCCCCTAAAAATAATGTAAAAACGAAAGTCTGATGATAAAATGTATAAGAACAAATTCTAAAAAGTGACAAGGATATTACGTTTGATCTTAAAATTGATTGGTAACAAAAACTTTATCAATCACGCCAAATTTGAATTTGGAATTTGTTGTGACCTAACATGCACTGAAAGGTTTATTGTAGGCTTACAACGAATTTCATTACCAATTAAATGTACCTGTAATCAGGTGCATTGCGTTTTGGTAGACGCCAGGGAGGTGTCTTAGGCCCTCACCCTTTTGGATAACAGTGTACTTTGTTGTGCGAAATGAATACTTTCCACCACTTTTTTTAGACTGAATTTTTGCATACTTATTTGAAATAACACTACTTCTTCATAATATGAAATGTTTGGTATACAAGAATAATGAGAATGAAAAAATACTATATTCTACATTAAATTTTTTGATTCGACCCCAATGCTGTAATTAGGTTAATTAATCATCTAAATAATTAGTAGAGTAATTCAAAGTAATAACATTAGATGTATAAAGGATTGAAAAAAGTAACAACAGCAACATAAATCTCGTAGCACTTCTGAAACCAAATGTATGAAGGGGCAGGCTCCTATGTAACTTTAACATAGCTTGAAATAGCCCCTTTGGTTGAAATCAGACCATGGTTTGAACAGTTATTGAACGGAAATTAAAGCGTGAAAGGTGTACAAATACGCAGCTAGACACATCCAAATCAGTATTTCTCGTTTTACCGTAAAAACTGAGGGAATGACTCAATATGGCAAAACCGATGTTTGATCTTGTGCAAGATCATTTTCTCAAATACTTAAAATGACATGTCTCCGTTTTTGTTAAGGTAAAGATAACCTTGTCTTTACCTACCTAGGAAATGACAGGTCTCACGCGCTATTATTCCGAAAACGTCACCATCTCGTCATCATTTTATCCAGCATAACTAGGGCCGCCTCTTCAATTTTGTGTCACATTTCATACGCCTTTAATGATGAAAAGGCACCGTGCATAGTATTCACCATTACAACTAGTCTCTACGGTAGGTTAGTGCGCGATGCTGAAATTGTAACCCTTCGAGATAAGTATATCTGTCTTCTTCACACGAGAGGGATAGATTTTGTTACTCTAAATAATTGCTCTGTCATTGTAGATTGTATGGAAAATTGAGTGAATATGAAATATAAAACCACAGACACGTTTTTGATGATAAATTCCTTGTATACATAAAAGCATAATTATATTAATTAAATCCATTTCTGTCTATCAATATTTTCAGAGGGGCCTCAATAATCAAATCACCACTGTCACCGGGGAAAGTCGTTGGGTAGTTTAACGGCCGGATTCATTGGACAAAAAGATGACCAAAATGCCCCCCCCCCCCTCAAATTAAAAATGGCCTGATAGTGGACAAACGGATCAGTGGCGACTGGATAAAAGAGGCTCCACTATACACAACCAGACTATCACAATGGTTACATTATGAATGGAATATTCTTTTCGTTTGTATAATCATGTATTTTATACATCAAATTACAATGAGTGCGGAGTCATCCCACAAACTAACATTTGTTTTTAACTTAAATTATTAATTAACATAACCACCACTAATAAAAACTAGTTAAACCTCAATGTCCTTGTTGTTGCATAATTTATGTCATACGAGGATATTTTTCCGATCTAAATTATATTCCATTTGTGTGTTAACTCATTTTCCCCTAAAGACACATTTGAACTCTTCCAATTCAAAGGTTGGAATAGTTCATTATGAAATTTCAGGGGTACCGGTAAATGAATTAATAGTTCCAAAACTCAGTTGCATATTTTGTTCACATTTCCAGACACTTCGAAACTACATTAGGAGTTTCAGACAAAGTTTGAATCTCACATTTCATAAATATGGAAATAAAATATTAAATATCTGCATAATTTTTCGCTTGGCATGAATAACCAATGCAGGCATATGAATAATATAAATACATCAAAAGTGTTATATTCATTACAGAACCATAAAAATGATGGTCCTGATATCTGTTTCGTTACTGTAAAATCAAATAATAATATTTCAAACGTCCCAACAACACAGTAAGGTCATAAAAGGTCACAATGTAAGTCTAAACGGTCCATCAACAAGGTAAGATCATTCTGGGTCTAAACGATAGTAGAAACAGTCAACCCACAAGGGTAGTCGTAATGGCCTAACACAAGTCACGGCATACACAGTCACGACGGTATTCTTTACAGTAAGGTCAAGCATGGTCATATAGTCTAAATTGTCCATCAACACTATCAAGTCACAGTAGGACATTATTCTAGAAGACACACGTGCCCATACAACCTAGGTCTCATTTTCATAAAAAAAAACAATAGTTTGTAAGTAACTGTTTGGTAACAGGGGCACCATCATTTTTAAAAAACACACACATTTTCTATCAAGTTAACCCTTTCACCACTGTAGCTCTTAATGGACTCGTCCAGATCATTGCATGGTAGAATCTACTAATATAACATAGGAGTGAAAGGGTTAAGCTTTATTATAACAACCATATCATTTATTACACCTTCTTGATCCTTTCACCACTATAGACCATAATGGATTCATCTAGATAATTATTGGGTAAAGTCTACTAAAGTAACCTAGTGGTGAAAGGGTTAATTGATATTTAATTATGACTTTATTTTGTGGAATGTTTTGGTTTTGAACTCTGAGGAGAAACTTTTATATATAAATAATATATGATTTTATAAATCTGTTCACTTGTATATTGACAACGTAATATAATATTCTATCAAATTCCATATATAAATCATAGAAAAACATTAGAACATATTTAAGTAACCAAGTAATGAGATGCAATATCAATTAACTGATTCACCCCTAAAGACACATTTGAACTCTTCTAATTCAGAGGTTGGAATAGTTCATTATGAAACTTCAGGGGTCAATGAATTTAAATTTGGTGTGGACGCCTGTCAAAGTAGACAAATATCTGGATAAAGGGAGATAATCAAATTGTTTCCCAAAATAATTACCTGAGTGATTTGATTCTAATTCCGAAATGAATCAATACATTAATTCCGATTAATTTCTAATATAGACTCTCGATAAACTTGATGAAATGTACATAGTATATCTAAATATGCTGCGGTATGAAATCAATACATATTAAATATATTTCCTGACGTTAATACAAAACAACACTTGGCAAGAACATACAATATTTCCTTTTAAATGACTTCTTGTGTAACACTTGTTCTGTAGGCTTCTACACAATATGCATCATTAATATTCTGTGGTAATATATAGTAGTTTCCACATTGTCAATGAGGATCTCCTTGTCAGGAAATTAAACTCCAAATCTTGGAAACATAATTGATAAATGTAACTGTTTCTTGTTTCAATATATTTAAATAAGTACCTGGGAGATGAACTGAATGTTGAACTGAAACTCCTTTTGAATTATTTATCTCAGCATCGCGAAAAATTAATGGGTTACAAGCATATTTGTTATATAGGGTGAACCTTGTCTATAAAGATCATGCGAGCACAAAAAAAACTCTATAAAGCCCCCTCAAAGAAGGGTTCAAGCACCTGTATATGAGAGGGAAAGCAAAACCTTGCCTACAGGGATCACAAATCAAAGAGAGCATAAACACTTGTCTTTAACCCTTTCACCACTGTAGACCGTAATGGACCCATCCAGATCAAAGCATTGTAGAGTCTACTAAAGTTACATAGAGGTGAAAGGGTTAAAGACCGCCAAAGGAAAAGTAAAAACCTGTACAAACCTTCCATATAGACCACCCATGGGACAAGCAAATGCCTCGTCTTTATATAGACCATCAAAACCAGAGACCCCACTTCTGTGTAATTATCACCAAAACGCGTAATGAGAACAACAAGGATCACTAAGGCTGAGCTTTTCTATTTATATCTAAATATCCTCAATCTCCGAAGTACATTTCAATGTCTACTTGATTGATTCCCAAGGTCACAAGGACTAAGGATAACTCATAGAAAATTTGGATGATACATGTTTATGTAAACAGGGGATCTCAACCATTTCCATGTTACGACTGAATTTTAAACAAAAAATAAGACAACCCAGAGGGTGGGGTGGGGGAGGGTGGAGAGGGGGCAAACAAGGCCTAATAAGCAGAACCTTGTGTAAACCTAATTTTGTGTTAGACTGTGGCCTTTGTAGACAGGTTGTACAGACATGTGCTCTCTATAGACAGGCAGTTGTCAACTATTGAGGCCTTTTTGGCAGGTTAACAATTGAGGCCTTTGTGGCAGGTTAACAATTGAGGCCTTTGTGGCAGGTTAACAATTGAGGCCTTCGTGGCAGGTTTTAATGTATAGCTCTCAGTTGAGCACCCCAGTATCACTGCCATAACTTTGTCTATACATGTCCATTAGAAACTGGGTTTATTTTCTGCATGACTATAGCTTCTGATAAATCATTTCTGAAGAGAAAACCATACCTTACAGAACTTTTATGAAACAATAATAAAGGTGAATTATACAAAATATTATCAACAACATTGTTCTGAGTGTATTAAATCAGCAGGGCTAGACTTGGATTAGAAATAGGGTCCTAAGATTCCTTTATACTGTTGCTCTAACCGACTGAGCAACCTGGTCAATTAAAGTGTCCTTGCCCAACTGTGCCTACTGTTATATATCCAACACAAAATTTAAGGGAGGCAACTGTATTTACCAACAAGGAATTCGGATTGATATGTCTTGCCTGTGCCCTCGCTTTGAGCATCAATTCACATATCAGAGAAAATAACTTAAACGCAAAAACTTAATGTTGATGGAGATGCTGACAAAATCAATGGACCATGAAAGGTAGGCCGCATCCAGCGTTTGATGCATGGGCCGAGAAGTACCACCTAAGATGCATTCATATATGGTCCAAGTTTGGTTGGTCTAGCACTTATACTTTCAGTGAAACTAAGTTAATGGCAAAAACTAAATGGCCCTAGTCTTGCTTCCGCTACTTTGTTGTGGCGAGATAAAAAACGAGAGTGCAGCGTGTGGTACTGGGATCCTAAAGATCTGTAATTTAACTGTGTTGCAAATTTGACATAACTTTGGTTTAAAATAAATCAGTTTTATGATCTTAATCAATTAGAAGATGCTCTAAAATATGCTTATCCTTTACAACTTTAAGGGGTATGGTTATATAAGAAAAGAAATTGACAGTAGATATAAAACAACATTTTTTTCTAAAAGGTAGAAAAAATAGATAGCCCATTTTCCATGCTCAAACTGAATTGTGGGTTTATCATTACATTGTGTTTTGGATAAGAATGGTGATAAAATTGTCTTTTATCAAAACATTTTGGTGAATTCTCTTCAGTTGTTTTCCTAAAACTTCAATTCAATATTTCCTGGACGGATAATATTAGACAAAATGCACATTACAAAATTTCCCTTTTGATTATTTAACTTATTTAGGGTACAAGAAACAGAATCTTGTACTTGTAACATATTTATTATGAGATGACATTAAGTAGGCGGTATATAGTTCTAAGTCTTGGACCTATAGAGAACTTTGGTCCTAGATATGCATACCTGTCAACTCTGACCTGAATAGCAAAACGTGAAATCTGATTTTTGAAAATCGAACTGTTCTTCCAGAGTTTGAGATTTTGACCTCTTCGCAGTATAACGTTGTTTCAGCAACCTGTTAAGAATCGACACCTATCTTAAATCAAAGAATTACAAAAATTGTTGATATTCCTTTGAAGTTGTGTGACTGTGTAGGTACCAGAAATTGTATATCATCATGGCTGCCGATGGTAACTGATACTCCTAATTATGATTTAGTCTAGATCTGACTGATCACCCAGTATTGCCTAATTAGCCTCTTACTGTCCGAAACTATGACTTGATATTGACTGTAAAACTTTAATACGAAAATTGGTCAAAGCATAAGATGTTCACACCAAGGAGCACTAGGAAAAAAAAGGGCCAGAGAGTTGACAGGTATGGTATTATGGTAGTAAGTTCATATAACACTAGATATTAATTTCCCGAATGGGTTCACCATCATCTAGCATCACTACGCCCCGGGGCGGAGATTCTTGGTGGGGGGTCCTTGACTGCCTTGAATTGGACCTGTCATAACCTGGAGGAGCTGTGGGATTCCCCTGGGAATACCCTGGGGAGTTTGAATTCCCTCGGGCATACCCTGGGGAGGTGGGATTCCCCGGGGAATACCCTGGGGAGGTGGGATTCCCTCGGGCATACCCTGGGGAGGTGGGAATCCCCGGGGAATACCCTGGGGATGGGTGGTTTCCTCTAGTGTGTCGATCTGGATGTTTATTCCTTGGATCACCATTAAAGTCTAGTCTAGCTGGACGCGGTTGGTGGCTTGCATTGTTTTTGTCATCAGACTGTGGAACATTATAACGATCATCAGATCCAGGCTGTGCTTCACGGTTGGAACGAGGCTGAATGTCAGGGTTATACCTATCCTCTGACCGTGGTGGATTTTCGGTGTTGTAACGATCAACTGACCGGGATTGAGGTGTATATCTCACAGCTGGTTGTGTGTCTCGATTGTAATGATCATTTGAGCGTTGGTTACCGCCTTGGTTACTGTGCGAATGTGGCACAACGTCAGGTTTAATACTAACACTAGACGGTGATGGAACATCCGCCTGATTTCTGTTGTTGGGCCTTCTTTGAACATCTTGATTAAAATGATCACTGGACGGAGGTTTAGCATTTTGAAAATGACGATCTTTGTCATTCCGCGGGGCTGCCTGAGGGCGTTTGGACTCGACAGATCCTGCACCAGTTGTCTTCTGCTGGACAGACATATTGTCATAGTGAGGCGAAATATCTGGTTGATAGGCAGGACCGTAGTCAGGTGTCAGACCTGGGTTCATTTCCTGGTAGAGGGAACCACTGGTATTTGAATCCTGACTACTTTCGGGGTACGCATGTTCTGTATCAAATCTTGGACTTGTACTGTGTGACCTGTTGGTCTGACGAGGGTCTAAGTACTTTGTATAGCCTACATTATGTGGAGGTGTTTTGGTTCTGACAGATTCACCTGAAATAACAGATTGGTCTTCAGGGGAGAGATCGATGTGTTCCGAATCTTGTCGGCTGTAGCCTTGCTTTGAGCTATCTCCATCACCGAATCCATCGTCAACATCTCCTTCACGGAATCCAGTATTATCATATTCAAACGTGATTTGCTCAGAAGAAATGATTTTCTTGTTGTCTTTGGTTGTTTCCTTGGACGCCGACTCTTTACCCTGGCGTGGCCTACGACCGGACATCCTGCGGAAACTGCGCCTGACAAAGTCTCTTGCAATGGCTGAAGAACAGAAAAATATATTTTCTTTACAAAGAAAATGAACATGACACATGATACAATGATTTAAAAATATTTTTTGCTGCACACTTAACAAAATTAACAGATGTGGACAAGCAATGATTTCAACAAGGGAAACCTAGAGAAAGTCAAACTACAAAATTATTTTAAGATCTTATTTAGAGGTGTTTCTGATGCGAATGTTCGCCTGACATAGGAAGGAGTACATTGAGATTTTCGAGGTTCTTATATACCACCTTATAACAACCTAGTTCATAGGTCGTCTCAAAGTGGTTCACAAAGTATTATCCGTGGTTAAAGGGCCTTTGCAACCAGCCAATATCTTTCTCAATTCCCTGGGGAGCATAAGCCGGTGATGCCGTTTTCGGCGCTCACAGATATCATTCAACAATTCTAGCACTGACCAACCACGTACTCATTTACAGCTGAGTAGACTGAAACAAGTGGAGTAAAGTATCTTGCTCAAGGACACAACACAGTGCCGATAATGTTAAATTACTGTTGAGGTAGACAGGTATAATAAGAACAATATTCACATTACCTGTACCATCTACTAACTTATCAGTCAAAAATCACTGTCACCTGAATGTTTGTAGATGGTCGCACGGCCGTATCCATCAGGATTGCGCTTGATGTATATCCCATAGATGACAGCGAGGACGATGACAATGACGACAAGGGGCACAACTACGGCTACAGCTATGATGGCACCAGTGGTACTTTGATCTGTAATCTGTGCATCCCTTGTATCTGTGGCCAAAAAGTGACAGTTACATATCACTGTAACTAAATAATTATAATAATAATAATAATAATTTGAGGTTCTTATATACCACCTTATTACAGCCTAGTACGTAGGTCATCTAAAAGCGGTACACAAGTTATTATTATCAGTGGTAATCGGGCCTTTACAACCAGCCAATATCTTTCTCAACTCCCTGGGAAGCATACAGCCAGATCTGCCATTTCGGCACTCACAGCTAGCATTCAACAATTCAGACACTGCCAAACCACGTACTCATTTACAGCTGAGTAGACTGGAACAAGCAGAGTTAAGTATCTTGCTCAAAGATACAACACAGAGCCGTAACCGTGACTCGAACCCACAACCCTTCGGTCACGAGCCCGGCGTCCTACCACTAGACTACTGTGTCTCCTTCAATTGTATTTCAAGCTAACTTTCAACAAAATCAATTAAATTTGTTAACTGAAAAATAAGAGATGTACACATACTAGTATATTTGAATAAATGCCATTTTATAATTCACAAGGGATATCTATGAAAACTGTTTATTTTCTTAAACATGAGAGACCTAGAAAGCTTGCTTTTACGAACTAAAGTTTTGCCACTTAACAAATTTTGTAACCTTTAAGTTGCATGTAGGTACAGTGTATCTGTCTGTATGCCATCAACCTCTATCCCTTGTTGTAACCTTTTTGTTTAAACTATTTTCATTATCTAAAACACACGACTAAGGACCATGAGGATTGGACACAAGTTTTTCTAAACTTAATACTGCCTTCTCTTATATCTAAGCATTCACTAAAGTTATTTTTCTTAGTGTAGAACTCTTTGTCGAATGGAGTTGCAAATGCATGTAAGGTATGGTATACCCTTAACAATACCATCATAAGCTGAAACTAAAAGAGAAAAGAGCTGCATGCATATGAAGACCAATGTACTTTATGATAAAAACGATAGATATACTGTAAGGAAAATCTAAGTTTTGGAATTTATGATAGTACAGTTTACATGTATTGGCCAAGTCTCAGTTGGGCTGATATGGCATACGAACAACTTACTTTCACAATGGACGCCATGGTAACCAACAGGACATTCACAAGTGTAAGACTGAATCCCATCTTCACACACCCCTCCATGTAAACAAGGATCTCCCAAACAGTCATCAATATCTGTATAAAAATTAAATATGTATTACTTACAGGCAATGAATGGGTGTGTGTTTTGAAATTTGGTTAGAACTCAAATGTTTTCCCTATTACATATATCAGAACCTAAGACTGTACCCTTCAGTTAATTACCCTGGTCACAATTGACTCCAGTGTACCCTTCAGTACAGTTAATTACCCTGGACACAATTGACTCCAGAGTACCCTTCAGTACAGTTAATTACCCTGGTCACAATTGACTCCAGAGTACCCTTCAGTACAGTTACTAACCCTGGTCACAATTAATCCCAGTGTATCCTTCAGTTCAGTTACTAACCCTGGACACAATTGACTCCAGTGTACCCTTTGTTACTTACCCTGAGTGTACCCTTCAGTACAGTTAATTACCCTGGTCACAATTGACTCCAGAGTCCCCTTCAGTACATTTACTAACCCTGGTCACAATTAATCCCAGTGTCTCCTTCAGTACAGTTACTAACCCTGGACACAATTAACTCAAGAGTACCCTTCAGTACAGTTACTTACCCTGGACACAATTGACCCGAGTTCCCTTCAGTACAGTTACTAACCCTGGTCACAATTGATCCCAGTGTATCCTTCAGTACAGTTACTAACCCTGGTCACAATTGACTCCAGAGTATCCTTCAGTACAGTTACTAACCCTGGTCACAATTGACTCCAGAGTATCCTTCAGTACAGTTACTAACCCTGGTCACAATTGACTCCAGAGTATCCTTCAGTACAGTTACTAACCCTGGTCACAATTGACTCCAGAGTATCCTTCAGTACAGTTACTAACCCTGGTCACAATTCATCCCAGTGTATCCTTCAGTACAGTTACTACCCCTGGACACAATTGACTCAAGAGTACCCTTCAGAACAGTTACTAACCCTGGTCACAATTAATCCCAGTATATCCTTCAGTACAGTTACTAACCCTGGACACAATTAACTCAAGAGTACCCTTCAGTACAGTTACTTACCTTGGTAACAATTGACTCAAGAGTACCCTTCAGTACATTTACTAACCCTGGTCACAATTAATCCCAGTATATCCTTCAGTACAGTTACTAACCCTGGACACAATTGACTCAAGAGTCCCCTTCAGTTACTAGCCCTGGACACAATTGACTCAAGAGTACCCTTCAGAACAGTTACTAACCCTGGTCACAATTAATCCCAGTGTCTCCTTCAGTACAGTTACTAACCCTGGACACAATTAACTCAAGAGTACCCTTCAGTACAGTTACTTACCCTGGTCACAATTGGCTCCAGTGTACCCTTCAGTACAGTTACTTACCCTGGACACAATTGACCCGTTTTCCCTTCAGTACAGTTACTAACCCTGGACGCAATTGACCCGTGTACCATTCAGTAGTTACTTACCTTGGTCACAATTGGCTCCAGAGTACCCTTCAGTACAGTTACTTGCCCTGGACACAATTGACTCCAGAGTACCCTTCCGTACAGTTACTAACCCTGGTCACAATTAATCCCAGTATATCCTTCAGTACAGTTACTAACCCTGGACACAATTAACTCAAGAGTACCCTTCAGTACAGTTACTTACCCTGGACCCAATTGACTCCAGAGTACCCTTCAGTACAGTTACTACCCCTGGTCACAATTAATCCCAGTGTATCCTTCAGTACAGTTACTAACCCTGGTCACAATTCATCCCAGTGTATCCTTCAGTACAGTTACTACCCCTGGACACAATTGACTCAAGAGTACCCTTCAGAACAGTTACTAACCCTGGTCACAATTAATCCCAGTGTATCCTTCAGTACAGTTACTTACCCTGGACACAATTGACCCGTTTTCCCTTCAGTACAGTTACTAACCCTGGACGCAATTGACCCGTGTACCATTCAGTAGTTACTTACCTTGGTCACAATTGGCTCCAGAGTACCCTTCAGTACAGTTACTTACCCTGGACCCAATTGACTCCAGAGTACCCTTCAGTACATTTACTAACCCTGGACACAATTGACTCAAGAGTACCCTTCAGTACAGTTACTACCCCTGGTCACAATTAATCCCAGTGTATCCTTCAGTACAGTTACTAACCCTGGTCACAATTGACTCCAGAGTATCCTTCAGTACAGTTACTAACCCTGGTCACAATTCATCCCAGTGTATCCTTCAGTACAGTTACTTACCCTGGACACAATTGACTCCAGTGTACCCTTTGTTACTTACCCTGGAAACAATTGATCCCAGTGTACCCTTCAGTACAGTTACTTACCCCGGTCACAATTGACCCCAGTGTACCCATTGTTACTTACCCTGGACACAATTTTGACCCCCAGTGTACCCTTCAGTACAGTTACATACCCCAGTCACAATTGACCCCAGTGTACCCTTCAGTACAGTTACTTACCCCGGTCACAATTGACCCCAGTGTACCCATTGTTACTTACCCTGGTCACAATTGACCCCAGTGTACCCTGCAGAACAGTTACATGACAGTATCTCCCCTCCGATATCAAAGTTCCGAGGATTAGATCTGCTTCCGGCTGTTTCCTTCACACAGGACCCATACTGGCAGGGACACACAGCTGTAAAGGGCAGACGACCAAGTAGATTAATTCAGACTTTTTATGAAGCATTCTTTTAACAGTTGTAATTAATTCAAACGATGATTGTAACTTTTCACTATGATTTAAAAACTAACTGTTTTCTGTAATCAGTGTCTAGTACATTTAATAAAACATTTAAAGCAGAGCTGGAAATGGTCACAGATTGCCATTGTTTGACATTTGTGACATAACAACTAGGAAAACTTCATGGGACACATACATGTACCCTTCCAATTGCATTCTAGATTTCATTTAGTCAGCATGGGAAATGATGCTTTCATGAAAATTTGCAAGTAATATTGGTAATTGGGTATGACTGATCATTACAAAATCAGATTATTATTTACATAGTTTGCCAGAGGTTCACTTGAATTTAGTGTAATAAATCTCGTTTTATACGTCATTAACATGTGCTGCCCTTGTGGTAGGGAAACAAGATTCTTTGTTTTCCTGAGATGATGCATGTTGTACGAGGACGAAAATACATTAAAGATGAGCAGGCTTCTGTGCCATTGTTGTCGTCTACTTCAATCATTCAGAACTCAGGTATAGTGCTTCTTATTCATTTTTCTAGAGAGGCTCCATATAAATAAGGGAAATATGACCTGGGAAATGTGTTGGTAAACACAATGTTTTGTTTCTCTGTCATTTGATTACATAATCCCATCAGACACACAGCCATTGCATACAATGAAGTTACTCATACACATCACTTAGTCTAAATATTAAAAACGGTGTATTTGCAGTTTTTTTGGTTGAGAATGAAAATAAAAATAATCTCAAAATCATCCCCATTCTATTTGATTTTTGTGAAACATGCTGAAGCTTTAATGAAAAATATATATATATATATAGAAAATATAACACTGTATCCTGTTAAGGATAAAACGGTATTTCCAGCTTGTGATGATGGATTCAGTACTGGAGTTGGTATGGTGTAACTCTGACCAGTACTGGTCAGTGTAAACTTACTCTCACAGGTGTGGCCATAGTACTGGTTAGTATTAACTTATTCTCACAGGTGTGGCCATAGTCCTGGTCAGTATAAACTTACTCTCACAGTTGTGGCCATAGTACTGGTCAGTGTAAACTTCCTCTCACAGGTGTGGCCGTAGCACTGGTCAGTATAACCTTACTCTCACAGGTGTGGCCATAGTACTGGTTAGTATTAACTTACACTCACAGGTGTGGCCATAGTACTGGTTAGTATAAACTTACTCTCACAGGTGTGGCCATAGTACTGGTCAGTATTAACTTACTCTCACAGGTGTGGCCATAGTAATGGTCAGTGTAAACTTACTCTCACAGGTGTGGCCATAGTACTGGTCAGCACACACACAACTGGACACCCCAAGGTTGTTGTGACACTTCCCACCAAACTGGCACGGGTTGTCCACACAGTCATCTGGAGAAATAATTGGTCAAACCAAATTGAGAACATTATATCATATTATTTTAGATTTGTAGGGTTTTCTGTTTGTTAATTAATATAGATTCTAACACTATTCGTTTGCAACGCGTGTTTTGATTGGATACGGACCATGTTCTTATCTGCGATAGAATCATGGTCAATCGTGTTAAGCTCCTCCCATCGCACTTAAACCACACCCCGTTTCTAACCAAAACAATATGGCGTCAAGATCGCCTCATAGCGAAATCCCGCTGATAAGGCTAGTAGGCAACAGAACAGAAACGACCGATGAAATGCATTTGTTGAATTAATTAAAAAGTAAAAAGAACGCATTCCTTGTTCTTACCTCCATTTATTACTGAAACGTTCGTTCCATCCGTGTAAAGGCATCTATTTAGATCCGAAATCAAATCAAACATTTCACATGTGTCGTATGCATTTACACAAAACTCTTCAAAAATTTATTCAAATAATCACCGATTTTGTCGATAAGCACCGATTGGTATGCATACTGACATGGAAATGTAAGAACTTGTTCAATATTAATCTGAATGTGTCGTATAAACTTTGGTAACAGGATGTTCACGAACAATCCAAATATTCCGCCTCGTCAACATACAGATCGAGCTCTCGCCAGTATGGGCAGGGCTAAATGACCGACTTTTGAAAGCTTCTTCCCGATTGGTCAGTCCGCTGCAGAATGACACGTCGCCAGTTCAAGTCTCGACCTGTCGGTCTCGAGTTCAAACACAAATTTCATGTTCTAATCACCAGTATAGCCACTCAAAACAACGTACTATCCCCTAATTAGATAATGATTGTGAAAATTTCACAACCCCTCAACGTTGCTGAATCTACTGTTTATCCAAACAAGAGGACCATGGGCCTCAACATTCACCTGAAACTTGTGTCCCTATATAAAGGGCTTAGTGAGCAAAGAATGATTTCAAAACAATTTGGTCTTGATCCAACAGCGACTTTCAGAGGAGATGTTTTTGCACTCTGTGACCCATTATGGCCCCGCCCCCACATCTCGGCCCGAGGGAGTCAGCCACTACTTTTCAGTACATGTTTGATAATCCTACAACAGGCTGATGATTACCCCCAAACTTCGTTAAAATCTGCTGGAGGGGTTTCAAAGCAAAAAACGAAAATATGATGGTTAACGGCTGATGATGGACAAAAAAACAAAAAAACAATCCAAATAGGTCACCCGAGTTATTCAGGTGCCAAAATATGTCATTGGTTTTATCCTCGGATTGAGTCAAATTTTGGAGATTTACCGTATGTCTACTGTAACTATCGGTGTGTACATCACACATCAATTTGATAGTCTTTGGCGCTATCCCTACAAAACTGTACAAGTTTGTGTGTCCTGAGAAGCGGAAATGACAAAGATTTTTATAAAAATGTTACTAAATACACAAATATCTCATTCATTTTTGTTTCTGATTTTTGTTTCTGGAAATTACAACTTATAATTAAAAATGATAATTTACTTACCCACAAAAATAACAAAGACACTGGCAGAGACCATTTCTGCAACAGAAATAAAAGTTTTGATCTATATAAACATTTATTTAGATAATGAAATCTAGGAAATTTATTGGCTGTTTCCATAGCAACTGTGTACTTTTGTATGATAACAATATTTTGTTTTTCTTTGACAGCACAACACAATTGTTTTATCAACAGGGACTATAATCTGAGACACTCGTTCTCCTGAAAACCAGGAACCTTTTGCCAAATCAATTATTTGCCATTCACAGGTAAAATCCATATTCGCTCAACATTAATTTTGCCCTTCTTGTGTATTTACTATAAATGGTATATGTTGTGTACGCTAGCTGTCACAACAAATTTGAAATTATTAAAGGGGGCGAAATTTTGCCGGTAATTACCCCTAGGCAGCTACTTTACTCCAAGACAAATACATGTACAAATACTGTACTCCTTAGCAGGTACTTTATAATCATAAACAGGAACTTCACAGGTTATTACAGGGGTGGAATTTATACAAAAGGGTTAATGGCCCAAAGGTCCAGGTGAAGTAAAGATTCACTGGTTCTGTTTAAAGTACACTGGTCCAGAAAAAGAGAGCCGGATGCCCAAGCGAATGCCTGAGGCACTTGATACATGGCATGCCCTCAGAAAAGTTTGAAAGAAGCTGTGTGGTGCATTCTGGGCTTAAATGAAGTTTTTAAATCTGCTGAAATTTTAGATAAATTTACAAAATATCTACTCGCCCGGCGGGATAGCTTGTGAAAAAACCTAATGGTCCACCCAGAAAACCAGTGGCCATGGGCCAGGAGACCAGCCTTTGATTCCACTCCTGTTAGTACACCTTATCTTATCAAATACTTACCCAACAAGGTTGTACTTGTCGTGTTTTGAGAGTACAGGAAGAATGGTGTTTCGCGCCCGTAGTCCCAGTGACACTGGCCGGTACGACCTTTATCTACGACAACCATCCACCCCCTAATGGTTTCACATCCTGGGGAGGAGTTTGATGTGATCAGGAAGCGATGACCTTTACCTGATTCTCTAAAATTCAAACGTAGAACTCATTTAGTATCCAGTGGTGTAAAATAAACTCATTACAAGGGAATCTTCTAACTGGCTAAATAAAGATTGGATAGAAACAGGAACAATACCATATTTGCTGTTATTAGCACCCCTACCCTTATAATGCCTTTCCCTTTTTGGGCACTTATTGAATCAAGGCCCCTTTCCCAAACACATGCGACCTACTTTTCTGACCCTTTCTAGATAGCGAAACATGGTGCTACACACTTTATGTCAAGACTGGCTGTTTTCCAGTGTTTCAGCAAAAGAATGAACAATTTTGGGAATTATCGCTAGAAACATGCCCATCTGTTATGTCACAATACCAGCAAATGTAGCAACTTATGTTTGTTACCTTAATAAGCGCCCCCTTCAGCAAACCCCGTTATGACGCCAAAATTTCCCTGGACAAACGGTGGCAGTAAAACAGGATCAGGGAAAGGGCATGTATAGACTTTGCTTGTTGCCCCCAAATTCCCATTAAAGCAGACTGATTTAATAAAATATTTTGAAATGAAATGAACACGGTTGTTCTGTATCTACAGTGTTTTAGCTACAGTGGGACAGGATACTTTAAATGAGTTGTATGTCAAAGACTTACCCTTCAGCACTACAATTAGAGATTAGCTGAGGAGAAAGGTCGGTGTAGCGCTGACCTTGCTGGACGATGTTATCGGCAGTAAACCAAGAGGTCATGCTGTCTGACCAACTGTTATTGAACACAATGTTTACAATCTCCTTCCCATTTCTGTCATACATACCAACTTTCACCTGAAACCAGATTACAGATTGTTCAACATCTTATTTCATTTCAACGGAAATTTAATTGTTTTCAATTCAACATTACATGTTAATAAGTATCAATTTTACATGTTTATAAACATATGCACATATGGAACAGACTATATTTTCCGTTGCATTTAAAAAAATAAAAAAATAGGAGAAAACAAATTAAAATGATAAATGGTAGCAAATATATAGGTTATCTCCCTTGTTAGAATACTCCTGGATAAAACTTTACCCAGATTTAAAATCTGAAATCCAAAACGCATTTTCATGGTTTCTGAGCTTATTCTGGTGGTTGGAAAGAGAGACAAATACTCTTTCACACCCAAGCATGTAGGATAGGGAAATTCGAAATTTGAAAAAGGTGGAATTTCCCTATCCTACACCCCTGGACATGAAAGAGTCTTGAATTCTTATGAATATATAATGATGTAAAAATGATTACATTTTGTATATTTAACTTTGCCCAGTTATTTACAATCCTGGATTTGTATGTTGGCATCCCTAGGGAGAAGAACGAGTCGTGAACTTGGGCGATGCCAGCAGCGTCGTCGTTCAGGTGATGAGACGACGTCCAGAGGTCAAACAAACTTGTTAAGGGAGACACATCCTCACCAGATGCCACCTTCAGGACTACTCTCCAACCTGACAAAGAAAAAGGATCATATAACTCATTACACAATACATCTCCAGCACACACACAGGCATACACACATAGGGAGATATTAGCCAGGTGGCATAGGACTAGTAGTTAGCGACTGAAATGGCAGCTCCTGCAAATTCCTCAATATCGTATTGATTAATATATATGCTAATTGTATTGACTGTATTGAAGTGTAAATCTATGTACTGTAAAGCGCTTTAGAGTGGCTTATGTTAGCTAGATAGGGCGCTATATCAAATGTTGTATATTTTATTATTTTATTACAAGATGAAGGGAGATAACTCAGAATCTGACAAAGGGAAATAACTTAGATAACTAAAAACCTGACATAACTATATATACCTCAAAATTACACTCATTTACAATTATATAATACCATTTTGACCTCACAATTGCAGGGTCTGAAAATCGAGACTAACATATGCTACATTGATGCTGTCTGTTCCATTCATTGAAATTATTCCTATCATTTTGATCGTTTTGACAAATAATCATGAATTTCTTTGATAAAACTCAATCTTGTATATTACAATGTTAAACACTTATATGATGAGTAACAACTAATGATGAGCAATCGGTTTAAAATCACAATGGATAATCAGTTTGTAATCGGAAGTAGTAAACTGATTGATGATCGATTGCATAATCAGTTTATAACTTTATTGGACTGAATACCAAATAGTGTGACAACACTACCATACCATCAATAGACAGAGTTGTTCACTATACACTAGGTTTGGTTCTTTTATAATGAACGGATTTCCAGCAACCTTTATTCAGTTCTGTCAATCATATAGTAAAAATCATAAAAGTTAATGACTTAAGCTTTCAATGCACAAATAGATTGATTTTCGATTATAATCGATCATCAGCTCATCACAAGTCGTGACAGACAAGTTTGCAGAAATAGATGCAACCGACCTCTGCACAATGTGACTGACCCCACCAACAGGACAACAATAAGCTCCAAACTCCGCGACATCTCAGTTTCTGGACCCTGTTCTCATGGACACTGCAAAGGAATGGCAAATGTATATAGTATGAAGATCAACCAGTTTAGAATATGAACAGTGGATGCGGCAACAAAATTACTTGTTATCCTCGTAACAGACTAAGACTTTCAATCTCTAAATTGATTTTTCTATATGTGTACACTTCACTTTACCAAAATGATCAAACAGTTAACTTTTTATTTGATTTTAAATTCCTTTGACATTTTAACATTGACCTTTACAAGAATAATCCAATCAGCTATAGATACTGATATTGTTATATCACAATATGGTATGCTGCAATTTATTACGAATAATCTGGGGAGGGATTAAAAATCTGGTGAGGGATTGATAATTCTGTTGAGGGATTGATAATTCTGTTGAGGGATTGATAAATTTGGTGAGGGATTGATAAATCTGTTGAGGGATTGATAAATCTGTTGAGGGATTGATAATTCTGTTGAGGGATTAAAAATCTGTTGAGGGATTGATAAATCTGGTGAGGGATTGATAAATCTGTTGAGGGATTGATAAATCTGTTGAGGGATTGAAAATTCTGTTGAGGGATTGATAATTCTGTTGAGGGATTGAAAATTCTGTTGAGGGATTGATAAATCTGTTGAGGGATTGATAAATCTGTTGAGGGATTGGTGAGATATCTTGTACACAAGATTTTCATCATAGATACACAGTTAAACATTGTCCTGAAATAAAGGTAAGGGTGAGGCAATTGATTTAGCCCTTTCACCCCTATGTTACTTTAATAGACTCTACCATGCATTGATCTGCACAAGTCCATTATGGTCTACAGTGGTGAAAGGGTAAAGCACCTTTTTCAGAATATATACATTCCGTCTTACTAATTTATTACAGTAGTCTTGCCCAAGTCCAAAATATTTGTTTATACAGGTTGGCCAAAGATTTATGGGAGGAGCTAATTGATTAGCAAATCTGCGTCAATATAGTCGCAAATGTAACAGGAAAGAGAATAGTGTGCTTCCACCGGGGATCGAACCCTCGATCTCCAGGTTCCTAGTCGGACGCTCTACCACTGAGCTAAAGGGAAATTCCCCCTAGCTCGAAGCTAGAAGGCGACCTTAATCTTATGTACAATTGAACCCTGCCACACTAATAACAGACTGTATTCTCTTAAAAAAAAGCACAACATCAAGTGAAAGAGGATATATATATATATATAGTCAATTGATTTGGATTACTGTGTTAGTATATGTATCATCTTCTTTAATGGGAGAAAAAGAACCGCCAACTTAATTATCGTGATTTTAATTTGCAATTCATTATCATGTATTCTAATAACACTCGTTATTTGAAAATAGGAAAAAGACACTCGGCAAACATAAATGTCGTAAATAAACTGAAACTTTACTAACCCTTTCACCACTGTAGACCAAAATGGACTCATCCAGATCAATGCATAGCATAGTCTATTAAAGTTACATAGGGTTGAAAGGGTTAATTAAGTTCACCTGAAAACCATAGCAACCACCTATTATATTATGGGGAGTCTAAGTTTTAAGACACATGACTTACTATATATGTAGAGTATATGTAAATTTCAATTCCACTTTATGTGCTATCTTAGGCTACATTCGCGTATCCCGGTTGAAACGGTACGTGTGGCGCAGAAATTTGCCACGATAATCGAGCACACTTGGACCATTCTATCAGCAGAGCTAAAAATCCACAGTTTCGGAGAATAAAAAACAATGTATCAAGAATATTATGCCCTTCTCTCATGCGTCCACTAAATTACATAACGTATCTTAAAAATTACATGTGACTTGACATTGTTTCAGAAAGAAATAACGCAAATTGGCAATAGTCAGCATTTTAGTTTCGGTCAGGTACGTCTAGACCCCTCAATCTACACGTACCAAATTTTCCTGAGGTCAGCCTCGGTCAAAATCTGAACCTGTCGTTTTCTTTACAGGTTCAAACGGTTCAACCGTATACGCGAATGTAGCCCTAGGATCTCTCTGGTGAAATAACAGCTTACACAAATCTGTTACACCAAAAAGGAAAGTTATAAAAAGTTGAAACTTCATTTTCAGCAGAGTTGTACAAATCTGCAATAATTATGAAACTGACAACTGAACCCCCTATTGACCATTTTGCATGTGATTTTTTTGTTGTTGAAAAATAGACGTACAAAAGGGTAATATAGCTCGATGACACTTCACATTTCACAATCCTCTTATTGACTGCCACAGGGACAACGACGATATACATGTGTATTGTTCAAGAGCAGGAAGTACAACTAAACTTGTTTTTTTTTCGTACTGTGACCTTATATTTCAAATTCGATTTACATATATCACTATATACTTTGATAAAATTACAGGAAGTAAAAGGTAAACAACCGGCCATAATATAGATAGTTGACTCACCTGTATAGTTCACACCTGTCCTCCATTTATCGTAATAAGATTTACCTTACATTCTTACCTTTGTCCGAAGAATTTTATTCTCTGTCGTCTTCAAAAGATCAAAAGTTGTCGATATCATATTCGTTATGGGTAGGCCATGTTTGGGTGTGTTCCGGTAGCTCCCTATCTATGCTTCTGATTCCGGTGTGGCACATTTTAAGGCTACACTTCCGTTTTTCACCTGAGGGGCCCCAAAAGGGGTATTGGAGACAATAAAGACGATAATGTTATGTAACGGAGTACAATTCGAGCACTTCATTTAGTTATATACGGAATATATCAATAGTGTCAACTGCAAAAGATAATAGTTTAAACCTTTCTTATTTAATGTAAATGGAAAAAGGGAAAACACTTTACCGTCAAGTGTATAATCACAAGGACCTACATTTATATGTTGCTTTGTACTTTAAATTTCTGGTCTGCATAGCTGTTTAAAATGTTTTAAATGTTTAAGAGAGCACGATCAATACCAGAAGATATATTTACTATAGTACTGTTACATTTTGTGAATGTGACCCCGGTTTCACGGACGTTCCATTAATTTATGGAAATTCCTTAACTTAATTAAGCTTTCCCATATTTGGAAAGCATTAGTATTTAATGTGAAGAGAAACTGAAATTGTCCAAATCCGACCTTTTTGTGAGACGGAAATTCTTATCATTATATTTCTTTCGTGTATAACTTTTTTTTTTGCTTTAGTAATTAATGGGCAAGCAGCCCAAATTCAGTCACGATCAAATTGGAACTCTTCTTTGTTTGAATACAACACAAAGTGATCTGACTATCTGCCTTATATATATTCTAAATTTTACGATTCTCAAATTTTCAGCGGTAATAAAGTTTGATTTTCTGCATCTTCAACTCATTCAAGTCAAGTCGATTATATATTTTAAACGATAATTTATAAACATTTTACAATCCCAATTAATGTTTGGGAAAATATAGTCCTTAGACTGAAAAATATGAATTTGAGAATTGAGAACGTTCTTATCAAATGTGGCTCCTGGGTAAGTCTTCGTGCACTTGTTAATACAAAACGTGACAGAACGACTAAGAAACCCTGTCGATAGGTGTATGTTTAAGAGAAAACGGAGATCATATCTGCAGAAGGAGGACACCTTTTACGTGTGGGTCATTAATGCCTATTATTCTTTTGGGGCACAGTAGCTATCTAGTCTGGTGGTAGGACGCCGGCCTCGTGACCGAAGGGTTGCGGGTTCGAGTCACGTCATGGCACTGTGTTGTATCTTTGAACAAGATATTCTACTCCGCTTATTCCAGTCTCACTCAGCTGTAAATCAGTACGTGGATGGGCAGTGCTAGAATTGTAGAATGCTAGGTGTGAGCGCCGAGATGGCCCCGGCTGCTGTATGTTCCCCAGGGGGTTGAGAAAGATATTGGCTGGTTGCAAAGGCCTTACAACCACGGATGATAATTTGTGAATCGCCTTCAGACGACCTACGAACTAGGTTTTGATAAAGATATATATAAGAACCCCGAATTATTATTATATTATTATTCTGATAATTTATTTGATTTTACAGAAGACATAATTGACTCTTGTCACACGTATAATAATACTGGACGCAGGCAAAAGCCTGTATGTCCAGATCATATTATAAAATAAAATCTCAGGCCGGTGTACTTAGCATTTTTTTGTGAGGCTTTCATTATGTACTTCAACAATCTTTTTTGTTTTGGGGTATTTCTTTGGTTCCCGTTGTCTTTAAGCACGGAATTAGATCAGATTGCTATCTAAGTCTGTGAGTTAAGTATAGATCTTCAGTTTCGATTGCATTGGCCTATCGAGAGTCTGGTAAAACTAAATATCTTACATCTATGATATAAGAGTCGCAGTTATTTGAAATGAAGTAAACGTCCAATGGCAGAACTTATTCATTGTGGAGTAAAAAATACACCTTCATACTAATTAACCGTACGCAATTAACGCGTAATGGCGAATATTTGTTATTTCTGCGCTTCAGTCACAGTGAATGTATATTAAAATGTGTACGTGCTGATATATAGGGCAAAATGTTGATACTATCTGAATGACCTCATGAAGACACTTTTTGTTGTTAATTTTGACCTATTTCTCAATAAAACGTTAATTGAAAAAGTAAAATATTTATTAATCTTTAGTAATCACCCTTTGGCTGGACACATTTGATGAATCACTGAGGCAGTCTAACTGAGGAACATTTGAGAGGAAATGGGAAATGTTGTAGAATGCTTTTAACAATGTCCGTGATACCGGGACCTGGTCAACCAACTGTAATTTTCGCTCTTTTTTCGGGGTAGCCAAAATTGACATATAATAGCATGATTTTATTCTGACAAATTGAGCAATGTTGCAATATTTTCAGTTTTTTTCTTCAAAACAGTATTTTGGCGTTACAACAGTCTTTACCAGTGTTCATATAATATATGTTCAAATTGTTTTAACAGTGCCTGAATTTACACAATTTCACGGAAGATTGTCCATGCATGTAAAGTCATCTGTGTAACGAATGTTTTCCTGCGTTTTATAAATTTGAAAAATATGTCCGTGTGTAGATGAACCTTCCTTGATTTTACAGTCATATTTCCCGAACGCTGTCTTCATGTAACTACATGATCGCCTATATATGCGTAGTTATGGTAATAATCGCTGCGATACTCACACCTGTAGACCCTCGAACCAGACATGCACACCCTTACGCATACAAACACATATATCTGCTACAAAGGACACCTACAAATATTCATTCTTCACACACACAATAACACAATGGAATCTCCTTCCCATAGCAGCAGTACAATGCACAACACTAGAGGACTTCAAGGCACACATACTCTATGCAGCCCTTGAAGCCCTCATCACACGCTAAAACATACGCCAGCTTTTAATCTTTTATCTTATACTCTGCACAAAAAACCCCCACCTTATCACTGTAAATAATCCCCTTTTTTACACGCCTCTGCCAGGTTCCCAAGGGCATACAAATCACTTTTGATTTAGCCCTTGTACGGTTAAGAAGAAGAGGAAGAAGATATATATGAGCATCGCACTTGATTTGCGTATTCAATATTTGGTCTAAACATGAATACAGGAACTAAAAACTCTCCTTATTCATATATTCCATCATTCTCCGTAGGACTGTAATGTGAAATGGTTTTTCATAACTTTTTCCACATAAATGCTTATAAAATGCCGCGGTTTCATTGTCTATGGCGAAACCAATATATGTTCGAAGAGCACAAATTCTAATGCTTCTGCATTTTACTTGAGAGTGCATGTAGATCATTTGATCGGTATTGGAGTGGCTCGCGCGCATCATTTTACATTTGTTTGGATGAAAACTTATATTAGTTGCATGAATTCTTCATCTTGTGTATTACAATTTTCCTCATCATTGAATGCCCTAAGAATGTATTCGTTCCGGGACTTTTTACACTCGGCCGTTTTCGTTTATCACGATCCAAACAGTTGAAACGGTCAGACGTAGCTTCTGACAACGAGATTTTTTTTTTATATACATTGGGTCGGGACAGAGGAGGCCGGATATATTAATTAGTACTACGTACGATCGGGCCAGAGTTGTTGGTTTCTGAAGTAAGGTCGGCCTAGTAATCAGACCCTGTATTTAGGCGAGCCTTGAAAAAACCTTGCAAGGCCTGCGTAAACGTTTGCAGGTCCGCCAGGATTTATACCAAAAATGTTATATTAAAAACGGTCGAACCGGTTGTTCCGTATACTAGCCTCGTCTGTCAATACACCCAGACCATTATAGTACCTGTGCCCCAGGCAAGGATATAAATTACAAATAAAAATCAGGCGCGGATTTAGGGGGGGGGGCACACCCGGCCCCGCCCCCCTTTTTGGCGGCGGACTGACCTTTTCCGGGCCGGCCCATAATGGTCTGATCTGCCGGGAATGGGAACATATTAACATTTTAAAATTCATCAAATAATGCACGGAGCTTGTATAAAAAAAATCTGGGGCTACGCCCCACACATCCCATACGGCATCCTAGCAAATTTTGTGGGTTTCCGATATCCGATATTTTTACTTTATTTTCTTTATTAAAACAATATTTGTTGGCATCGCTACGCTCGTCTACTTTGTATCTTGACCCTAAAGTTTTTTTGTTTTATTTTACCACCTCCGCAAAACCCCAAGTTGCAACTTGCAACGCTCGGCGGAAATATACTAGCATAAGTTGCATAATTATATTATTGACCGCTCGTTATAGATAATCTGAAAATTAATACTTTTTATTGTAACCTTCCTAACCGCCCGGGCGATATTAATCATATCATTATACAAGAACGATAACGGTTTTTTTCGGCTGACAATATTATGTATAATCGACTAAACATATCCATTCAATTATTTTGGTATTATATATATTGTTGGAACTGTTTAACTATCTTGTATGTACAACATAATATCTCATTGTGGTACTTATAGCTTACCATCGTGTACGTACAAGAAAGTATCTTCACACAGCATACTATTGTGTACGTAGTNGCTAATATTGTATTGAATATGGCAATTTATCATATTCATTAATTAAAGACATACTCTGATAAAAAAAAATGTCAAACCATGACACTTCAACTATAAAATATACATGCTCCAAGTCAGGAACCGTTACATTAGTGCATTTCACAATTATTTTATGTTTTTTAGCAAAAAAAAGGTCCAAAACTTTTTTCGCCTCGCACCGCTCGGCGACAGATTTTATTCTACCCCCCTCTTTCAAATATCCTAGAAACGCCCCTGTATATAGCTATTGGCCTTGGGTGTCTCACTGATTTGAACTAACCGTTTGTTTAGCAACTTAGTGATGCCATGAATAACTCATTAATTAAACAGCAACGATGTTATGGTGTTATTTGTTCTTTTGTACGACAAACGTACAATGTCTGAAGACTAGATTTATATTTTGACGGTGGACTTCTCGTATCCCCCTTGCGGGCGGGACGCCAAATTAGGTAATAATGAACAAGCCCCCTGTGGATTCATACATTTGTCATCACCAGGTTGCCCCTATAATTATACCATCTAACTTCTAAAATACGCTGTTGATAGAGAATTTGAACCGAAACTTTAATTTTCTTTCCAGTACACAAAAAAAGTCTTTGGGCCATATTTAAAATAAGTTTTTTTCTTCTTGTTAATTAAAC